CACCACGGCGCCTGTGTACACCACACCGCCTGTGTACACCACGGCAGCCGCGTGCAACACAGCGTCAGTCTGTGCCACCGTGCCTGCGGGCACAACAGCTGCTGTGTACACCGCAGTGCCTGCGTAAACCACATCAACCGTGTGCAACACATCACCAGTGTACACCATAATGCCTGCGTGCGTTGCATTGCCTGTGTACACCACGGCGCCTGTGTGCACCAAAGCAACCGTGCGCAACACAGCGCCACACTTGCATACATAATGTTAGAAGGAATCCTTATGACAAAATGGAGCGCTTGTGGATTCCACAAAAAACAATACAAAGGAATCCTTATGGACAAAGGAGCGCCGCTGGAATCTACGAGTGCTCCCGAGTCCGCCCGCGTCACCTTAACTTCTCCCATCTGCGTCCAGGAGGCTCCAGCTAAATTGGCCGTGCGAGAACCAAGTGGGCCGATTCAAAAGACCACCATGCGGTGCACTGCGCGCTGAATTGCGCACGTGCGCTGTAGCGCCACCCCGCACGACAGGGGGTAAGGAGGAGGAAAAGGAGGAGGAGGAGGAGGAAGAGGAGGAGGAGGAGGAAAATGAGGTGGAGGTGGAGGTGGAGGAGGAGGGAAGAGGGAAGAACGTCGCATTCGATTATCAGCACTGTCCTGCACGCAGGCACTGTGGTGTACAGTCGCGCTGCGTTGCACGCGGGTGCTGTGGTGTAGAGAGGCGCTGTGGCGTGCACAGGCGCTGCGGTGCACGCAAGCGTTGTGGTGTACACAGGCGCTCTGTTGCACATGGTTGCTGCGGTGTACACATGTACACGGGCGCTGTAGTGTACGCAAGCACTGTGGTGTACACAGGCGCTGCGTTGCACACCGTTCTTGCGGTGTACGCAGATGTTGTGGTGTTCGCGCGCGTTGTGGTGCACGCGAGCGATGTGTACACAGGCGCAGTGGGGCATATCGCCACCTGCATGTTTTCGCGTCGTCCTCGTCGTCGTCGTCGTCTTCGCTCGTCGCTCGTCACTCGTCGCGTCGTGCACGCGGGCGCGACTGTGGTGCCGGAACCACACGGCGGGGGGGGGGGGGCGTTTCGTCATACTCCCCTCCCGACCCCCTCCCCCCCCCATGACGCTCATCATCGCCAAACATAAAGAAACGCTCTTCTACTCTCGAGTCCTCTGGCCTACCATCTCCCTTGCTCCCCGCCCCTTCCCCGTCCTCCATCCTCGGAGTTTTGAGGACGGAGGAAGGAGCGGGTAGCGGCGGGGAGGGGAAGGTAGGGGGGAGGAGGGAGGAGGGTAGAAGGAAGGAGGGAGGATGGAGGAAGGAGTGGGGAGGGAAAGGAACCAGGAAGGAACAGGGAGGAGGGAGGAGCATCCTCCCGGGTCCCGTTCTTTCTTCCTCCCTCTCTGCTTTACTCGCTTTTGCTGCAGGACCTCATCCTCTCCTCTTGGCTGGTCTCCCCCTGTGCCCTCAGTCCGTGCATAGCGCAGGAGGCCGGGCAGGCTGTGGGGGAACTGCTGGAGCTCGAGGGCCCCGCGGCCAAGGCGCGCTGGCGCGATAGCCCTAGGACCTTCAACAGAGCGGCAGATGATGACGAGGACGGGGTAGGTTTGGAAGGAAGGAACCCCATTCCATCGTCGTGGCGCCCGTGGGCATCGGAGGGTGGCGACGGGCGCGAGTACAGACTCGCTCTCGGCTGCGCAGGGGGGAGAGGGAGGTGGAACAGGAGGAGGGTTCGCCAGCTGGAGTGGCCGAACACGCAGACGAGGAAGAGCATGATGGGTGAGTGAGAACGGTGACGATGATGATGCTGATGCTGATGCTGATGATGATGATGCTTATGATGGTGACGATGATGTTGACGATGATGATGATGATGATGCTGCTGCTGCTGCTGATGATGATAATGATGCTGACGCTTATGCTGATTATGGTGATGATGTTGCTGATGATGATGCACATGATGGTGATGATGATGATGATGATGATGATGATGATGATGATGATGATGTTGATTACGATGATGATAGTAATCATGACGATGATTACGATGATGATGGTCATGGTAGTGGTCACGGTAATGATGCTTATGATGATGCTGAGCAAGAGGAGGACTATGATGATGATGGTGGTGGTGGTGATGCTGATGATGTTGCTGGGGATCATGATGATGTTGAGGAGCAATATGCTGATGCTGATGATGCTGCTGATGATGAGGACTGTGATAATGCTGATTAGGATGATGCTGATGATGATGCGGATGATGATGAGAGATAGAGGATGGTGACTGATGCTGATGATGATGGTGGTGATGGTGATGATTATTGTTATGATTATGATTATTAGTGTTGTTCTTTTCATTTTGATGATGGTACTGGTTCTGATGATGCTGCTGATGATTATGATGATGGGGATGATGCTGATGATGTTGATGCTGATGCCCATGATGGTTTTCATGACGATGATTCTGATCATGACCATGGTGATGTGATGATATTGGTGATGTCGTTGGTGATGATGATGCTGACACTAATCATGACGATGACGTGGACGATGATGAGGACGATGCTGTTCATGCTCTGGTTGATGACGACGCGGTAATGATGATGCTGCTGATGATGATGATGACGACGCATATGATGGTGATGGTGATACCTCTGATGGTGATGATGATGATGATGATGATGTTGATGATGATGATGATGATGATGATGCTGATGATGATGATGATGCTGATGATGATGATGATGATGATGCTGATGATGATGATGATGATGATGCTGACGATGAGGATGATGATGTAAATAATGATGCTGCTGATGACGATGCTGATGATGCTGCTGACGATGACGATGCTTCTGATGTTTATGATGTTTATGGTGGTGATGATGATGATGCTGAGGATGATCTGGTGGTGGTGATGACAGTGGTGGTGGCGATGCTGATGATGTGTGTGGTAGTGATGGTGTTTTTGTGAAGTTGGCGATGGGGTAAAGATGTCGAGGCTGATGAAGATGATGTTGGTGGTGATGGTGGTAATGTGGATGGTGGTGGTGGTGGTGGTGATGCTGATGTTTATGCTGATGCTGCTGGTGATGATGCTGATGAGGGTGTCGATGCTGTTGCCGATGATGAGGTGGAGGAGGACGCGGATGATGATGATGATGATGATGATGATGATGATGATGATGATGATGATGATGATGATGATGATGATGATGATGATGATGATGATGATGATGATGATGATGATGATGATGATGATGATGATGATGATGATGATGATGATGATGATGCTGATGATGATGATGATGATGAGGAGGAGGAGGAGGAGGAGGAGGAGGCGGCAGGCTTACGTTGGGCAGGACGAGCAGGAGCAGCATAGTATTGAGGATGGTGACGATGAGGCAAAGGAGGGGACTGCTCAGGAGGAGGAGGAGGAGGAGGAGGAGGAGAGGAGGGAGGGATGAACGAGGATGGACGAGGAATATGATGACGCTGCGCAGGAGGAGGAATAGGAGGAGGAGGAGGAGGAGGAGGAAGAGGATGAGGAGGAGGAGGAGGAGGAGGAAGAGGAGGAGGAGGAGGGAGGAGGAGGAGGAGGAGGAGGAGGAGGAGGAGGAGGAAGAGGAGGAGGAGGAGGAGGAGGATGAGGAGGAGGAGGATGTGTCTGCCAGTCCGTTCGCGGGTGGCCACCTGGGGGCCCTTGCCAGTGGCTGGGCGGCCGCCGTGTTCGAAGTCTCCCCGCTGCCGCAGGCGCTGTGGGCCGACTACGAGGAGCACGTGGCCCAGCTGGCGGCGAGCTCGGCCGTCGTCGTCGCCGTCGTCGGCGAGGAGGACGACGACGACGGCAGCGGCCGCGCTGGCGACGGCCGTCGTCTTCGTCGCGGCCGTCGGCTTCGGCGTCGACGCCGTGGTCGTGACCGGTCGAGGTGATCGTCGTTGTGCCGTGGTCGTTGTCGTCGTCGCCGTCGTCGTCGTCGTTGTCGTCGTCGTCGTCGTCGTTGTGGTGGTGGTGTTCGTCGTCGTCGTCGTCGCCGGCACGGTCGAACTCGCAAGCGTGGTGGCGGTCTTCGTCGTCGCGACCGCCGTCGACGCCGTAGTCGTCGTGGTCGTCGTCGTCGTCGTCGTCGTCGTCGCCGACGTTTGGTGGAGGCGGTGAGAAAGCAGGCGGGAGTGGGGGAGTTGGGGCAAGATGGCCCCCGCGGGTCGGGATCGGGGATCGGCACCAGCCCCCTCCCTGGGAGGGGAACGGGCGAGGAACGAGAGGAAGGAAGGGTGCTGGGTGGAGGAGCGGGGAGAGAGGAGACGGTCGGGAACTTTGGCCTGGCGTGCCTCGCCGCCGGTTCTGGCCCGCTGCGCTTCGGCACGACACGCTAGCCGCATCCCAGTGCCCAGCATCAGCGCCCCGAGTTTTCGCCAGCCTCCCGTCCTGCCAGACGGAGCGACACGCTTTCCGCTCGCAAGGCCCAGCGTGCCCCCGGGGCCGACGCCGCGACACGTCAGGCAAACGTTCCTGGCCGTAGGAGGGGAGGGCATGAGGGAGTGAGTGCGTAAGAGAGGGGGGGTAAGAGGTGGAGCCTCCTCCTCCGATTTTTCCATTTTTTTCAAAAGTTTATTTTGTATTTGATTATTTATCTTGTTGTTATTAGGACAACTATTCTTAGGAGTAGTGTTAGTATCATTTTTATTATTGTTATTATTCGTATTATCATTATTTGTATTGTTATTGTTATTTTTATGTTTATTAATCTCCTCCTCCTCCGCGGGGGCGAGGAGCAGGAGGGGCGGATTGGCCGAGGAAGGACGATCGAGGGGAGAGAGGGGGTGTGGGAGGGTTGGTTCCGGGTCAAGCCAGATTCGGGAGGGAAGGATAGGCACAGGCGCAAGTAGACGTCGATTCCCTTGAACATACTGGACGAGAATCCAGGAGATGCTGAAGGTATCGGGAATCCTGGGATTGATGTCTGTTGTTTTGCCTCTCCGACGGGCGCCTCCGAGGTGGCGAAGGAGCGCTGGGTGCCGTTCCACAGGGTCCTCGAGGCCTGCGCGGCGGAGCCCGTCGTCGCTCCCCCCCTCCCCTTGCTCTTCCCCGCCCCTCTCTCCACGCTGCTCCTCGTCTCTATCTTTCTCCGTCGTCCTCCTCGTCACTCCGCGCTCCACGCCCTCCTCCCTTCCTTCCCCCTTCGAGGGTGCAGGCTCGCACTCGCGAAGCAGGGCCGAGTGCTCGTCGTCGTCGTCGTCGTCGTCGTCGTCGTCGTCGTCGTGGTCGTCGTGGACCTCTCATTCTCCTCCGTCCTTCTGCCGTAGGCGCATCAAACACGACATCGGCCTGGCAGCATGTGCCCCTCGGGAATTTCGTTTCCCCCGATGTCCCCAGAGACCCACATCAGCTCCGATGCACCCGAGGGCCTTCGAAGATCGCCGAATAGTGTGCCCTTGGGCTTCTGATGGCACGATCTCTCATCGTGTGTGTCTACCTTGCTTCCTCTCCTCCTCACCTCCTAGTCGTCCTGCTTGTGCGAACGCGCAGGAGCCGTCTGGAGCGGTTGCGTAGGAGCCTGGGGGCCTCAGGCGATCAATCTGGCAGCACGCAGGCACGGGCACGCCGTCGGGGAAGCAGCGGGAGGTGCAGTTCCTTCTGCCTCATCCCTCGTCCTCGTCCTCATCTTCGTCCTTGTCCTCCTCCGCCTCCTCCACACTTGTCCTCCCTCGCCCTCGTCCTCCCCGTCCTCATTCCGCCGCTTCCTCCTCTCCTCCACTCCGCTCCACCCCGCATGCTAGCGTTCAAGAAAGGGCCTCGCCTTAATAGTGACCCACTATCAACAGACACGCTAAGCACACCCTTCAACGACCCCCCAAAGACACGCTAACAACTGCAGACCCAGGGGGTGGGAAGTGGATGAATGCAGGTGGATGGGAGATTGGATGCTTCCCCGCTCTCCTCCTTCCTTTTCCTCCTCCTCCTCACTCCTCCTCACTTCTCCTTCTTCCCCCCTCCTCCTCGTCTTACATCCCTCCGTCATCCTCCATCCTTTTCCTTCTATCCTCTTCTCCTCCTCCTCCTCCTCCTTCTCCTCATTTCCGTTGCCATTGTGGCTCAAGTGCCAACATCGGCAGCAGGAGTTGGGATCCTGCGCATTGTGGCATTCGAGCGGGCAGCCCTTCTTGAAAGGGCATTCTTGGGGTCGAGCCCAAGCGGACACATCCAGTCTTTCCTTGCACGGGGTCTCATCCCAAGCGCCGCCGCCATGGGGGATGCTGGTGTTGTTGCTCAGTTGACGCAGGTCATCCAGAGTACTGTCGCAGGGCTTCAGACACAACTCGAAGCTCGTGTCCTGGCAGTCGAGACCAACGTGAACACTCTCTCCCACCACGTCTGGAGCGCTGAGAACCACATCTCCGCGCTGTCCACCCAGCTCTCTGGGGCTGGTCAGATTCAGAAGCAGCAGGCCATGGAGATTCAGCACCTGAAGGCGCGCCCACCGTCGTCAGCAGCACCAGCGGCGTCAGGAAGCCAACAGACGTGGGCGTTTCGGCTGCGCACTGAGGACGGCAGTAAGCGTCGTCGTGGTGAGGATGGTACTGGTGGAGACCCAACGACCAAGTTCATTGGCCACTTCCCTCGTCCCGTCCTCGAGCGGGTTCGCAGGCTTCACTTCGAGAGCCTGAAGTTGCAGTACCCCGGCCTGCTCGCGAGCGTCGACACAAACTTCTTTGCAATCGCCCAGAGCTACCAGATCATCTTCCATAATAAAGATGATGCGAGTGCCTTCCAGCGGGAGGCCAATCGGGGTGGGTGGCTTGGTATGGACTGACCCCCGTACTCAGATCCAGCATCAGCTTCGAGTCAGAGCAGATCTCCCGCAGCCGGATCGAAACAAGAAGCGCGCCTTCCACAATATGTACCTTCCCATCCGCGACCTCCTGCAGCAGTCATACATGTGGACCCCGGATTGCCAGCTGGGAGTCGACGGGTTCCGCGGAGTCATGCGCGTGAAGAACGACTCAGACGCGAGGGCGCTCATCGAGATCAAGCAGGTCACCATCCGCAATGGCGAGGAGCAGTTCGTCTTCGAGCCCAACTTCGCCGAGCTCGATGCGTGGGGAATCTCCAAGGACTCGGCCATGGCTCTGATCGAGACCCAGGAGCCTGCAGCTCCTGAAGGCCCCATTGAGGTTGAAGAGTGGTGACAGCCTACCTCGCAGTCAACTAGTGTTTCCCTGCGTGCTGTGCCTGTGTGCAGTCCTCTTCCTCCCTCGTTGTCCCCCTCATCTGATTCCAGCACTACGTCCGACTCCGACTCCAGCTCTGACGACAGCTCTCTCGCCCTGTCCGAGGGCGGCCAGGATTGTGTACCGTATGCTCCAGAGCAGAAGTTCTCGATTGTTACGTGGGATGCGCGGGCCGTATTTGGATCCGTGTGGGGAAGTCATGACATACAAGCTCGTGCGTATAAGTGCGTGGGTGAGCTTATGGATGCGCGCGACATTGCATGCGCGCAGGAAGCACGCGGCACGAGTGGCGACATCTTCACGCCCGAGCGGGACTTTAAGGACCTCCTCCACTTTGGCGGCTTCTGTAACGATCAGCCGGGCGCTGGAGGCGTCATCACCAGTATTCGGAAAGATCTTAGACCACAGTTCGAGGATGTAGCCTTCTCTGAGATTGCGAAGGAGAGAATTACATCTTTGGGATTGTATGGGCCGCGCGCTTCACTGCAGATCATAGATGTCCACTTCGTCCCTGGGCTCTCTCACGGCGAACTTCTCGGGTACTCCCAGCGAGTGAAGCGTGCGATGTGGTCGACGGCGACCGCCAAAATTTTTCCGCGGCTGTTTTAATTTCCTCGAAACTGGCGGTGCTAGATACTTTGTTCTGGGGGGTATGGAGCGGCATGCGCCGCCACGGTTCGCGATGGAGTTTCGGAAGTGGTTCCCCTCCCTGCTCGAATTCGCCCCGGCTTGCTTCGCCCGCCGCGTGAAGACCGACGAAATTGTTCCCCTGGCACGTCTGGATCGCATTTACATTAGTTTCCCTGCTGCTGATATTCTTGACTTGGCTCCAGAAAGGTCCACGGCATGGCGCCCTGCGGACCTCCGCAAGCCCTCGGATCACGCCCCTCTGTATCCTAGGTTACAGCGTCCTCATCATAGACAACAAACTCAAAACATCCCACCTTGGATTGCAGGGCGCCCGCGGTTTTCCGCGCATCTCTTTAACCTTCTGCATCCTTCGGACCTCTCCGCCGACCCGAACGAACGTCTTCAGGAAATGAAGCAAGTCATGAGACATTCAGCCGTGCGAGTGAAATTTGATGTACTCTCTGACGGTGCGAACGCCGACGACGAGCGCCTGGCCTGTTCGTTGAAGTTATTGCCTGTTGCTCGCTCTCTACCCGCCCATGCTTGTCGTGATTTTTGCCCTGCTCATCTTCTCCACCTGCTCCGAAAAGCTGAGTCTGTTCTACGTGCTTATCCCGACCTGGCCAAGTATTATGACCTACCTCGACTTGAATGGGCTGATAGGCCTGGGCTTCGCGCGCATGCTGGCGACTATATCGCCAAGTGCTTGGAGATAGGGAGCGAGGAGTCGCTTCTCGAGAGATGGTGCAATCTAAGCAAGACCAGCATATTGCGCGAATTTGTAGAATGGCGAAGGCTTGGGCCAATAACCGCCCGAAGATCTTCCCCGCCGCTGTCCTAGACGACGACGGCGCTGAGCTTAATGGGGGCACTGCCATGCGTCAAAAGCTTTCTGAATACTGGGGCACGGTTTTTTTCTCTGGTCGACTGCGACCTCTCGGGCGCCCCCCAGTTCCTGGACCTCGTCCCGCCCCTCCCGCCCGACCCCTACCAGTTCGCCAACTCCACCCGCCGGAGGAACCGTGGATCCTGGCGGAAGACGAGTTTTCTGACCTCCTCAAGTCCAAGGTTGACTCCAGTCCGGGACCTGGCGGCATCCCGCGCAGTGCCTGGCAGTGCCCGCGTCCGCTGATTTAGGAGGCCCTCTGGGAGCACTACTTTGCCTTCGTGAATGCGCAGCAGCTTTCTTATCGTTTTAACTATTCCAAGTTGGCGCTCTTACCTAAAGGCGTTCGTGCTTCTGGTGCTGTCGCTATAGAGCGTGGAGACACGCGGCCGCCTGCGTTGAGTAACGCGGATGACAAGATCGTCTCTTCGTGCTTGGCGTGCCCACTCATGGAGGTGGCCAAAGATAAACTTCGTAGTGGTCAGAGAGGGTTTATGACGGGTTGCTGTCTCGCAGATGACATTATTGAGTTCGGCGGTCGATTCATGACGCTGCAGGCTCTAGACAATTCGCAAGTCGCTGGAGGCGCCTTACTTGACATAAAGAGGGCGTTCCCATCTGTGCATCATCTCTGGCTTTTTTCCTGTGTTGTTGCGTTGGGGATTCCCCTCCTTCTCCATTGATTGTATTTGGTCGTTGTGCACACGTGTGTGGTGCACCATTTCGATTCGTGGTTCTGAGGCTGGTGGATTCTGGGCGTTCCGTGGGGTCAAACAGGGGGGTCCTCGTGATGGCCTGCTCTTCGCGTTCGCTTTCGGCCCTATTCTACGTGCTATTGCTGAATTAAGGATCTCTCTTAATGTATGCCCTGCAGCATTTTCAGACGATCTAGCTATTGCTGCTGGTGGTCTCGTCCGTGCTCTTCCTCGCGTTGTCGCGCGTTTAATGGCTGCTGCGCCGTGCTCTGGGCTTGTCCCCAACTTTCCCAAGCGTGTGATCGTGATCCCGCGGCCTTGCGACCCCCTGGTGATCATTCAGCAGTGTATGAGTACGGGGCTGGACATTACGGGATGGAAGATTGGGCAATCAGGGATGTCTCTTGGGGCTGAGGTTGGTCTGAATGCACCCAGGTCCGCTTGGTCTAGTGTTGGTCAGAAGCTCTGGCCCGAGATGGTGAGGCCAAAGCGATGGCCAATGGGCTTGCTACCGCTTGTGCTGCGCATAACGTTCGCTACCTCAGTCTGCTCGCACGTCAGCCAATTCCACATTGTCACGAGTTAAGCGTTGGGGCAGGGGAGGGAGGCGCAGCAACTCCTTGCGTGGGCCCTCAGACATAGTACCCCTTCCCAAACAACTCTTAAAAGCCACTGGGATTGGCATGAGGACTGAGTGCTACTCGCTCGCTGTTATATCCCGCTCGGCGATGATACGTGCTGCATCTCGCTCCGACGTCTTCTATGAGTTTGTCAATGACTGGAATGCTGGGGTTGCCTGTGATGGTTCGTTTCTGCCTGACATATAAGTGTCCCCGTGCTTATTCCGACTCGGTCTTTTCCCGGATGCGCAGACTTTTGGAGGCCTTTGCGGCTAAGTTTGGAGGGGTTGATTCATCTAACCGTAGGAGTACCCAGAAGAAAATCACGCTCGACCTGAAATCATATATGAACGACTTCTTGAATACCACAGTTTTGGCTTCCAGGATCGTGAAGATTCACCCCGCGGCCACCAGAGACAACGTAGACCTGTGCATCATTCGCATGGACCGTGTAGGACAGGAACTGCCGCCTTTTATTCACACATTGGTCTTGAAACTGTCTGCAAGGCCTGGAATGCGACCCGCCGATACAGACAGCAAGTTGGTCCATGTTGTTTCGGTTGCCAAAATCTTGCAATTGACCGTCTTGATCATTATGTTCGATGTTTTGCCATTGTTGATTACGTTCGTTCTCTCCTCTGTCATCTCCCGCTGAGCTGGGGCACGAATCGTCTCCAGGTCTCTCTCCTTCACCTTCGGCGGGCCAGCGGGGCCGAAGAGCTTCTCAGCCATGCAGTAGCCCTCGATTGCATTCATTCTGCTTTTTGCTGCCTTCGTACTCGTCGTCCGTCATCGGCCGCCGCCCGCGCTGCCATCCTTGGCCGACTTCGAGCCAGCGCCCAACGTTCTCGTCAGGTGCGGGCTTCAGCCATCGGGCAGCCGCTCGGGTTGGGGACTGGGGCCGTGGAATGGTGCGCCTCCTCCTTCTCCTCATTCCTCTGTCCTCCTGCTCCCCCCTTCCCTTCTTCCTGCTCTTTCTCCTCCTCTTCATCCGGCCCCTTCCGCCTCCCGTTTCGCTAGGCGAACAACTTCTTCCTCATCCGGTCGGTGCTGCACTGCAAGGCGCTGGTCGCTACGCTGCATATGTTTTGTTGTGGATCATGCGCCGCATGCCTGCGAGACTCTCCAGCATAATGGAGAACGGAAGAGAAGGCCGAGGAAGAGGAAGGCGGGATAGAGGTGCGGGCGAATTCTACATATTTTCTTTCCGGTTTGGAGCCCCCTGGGCCGTCAGAAACCCGCATGTGATAAATTACTTGCCAGGATTGACCCCGCTGGGGACCCAGGGGCCAATTTTTGAGTGGATTGTGAAGGGGATGAGGAGGAAGAGGGGGAGGAGGTGGAGGAGGGGGAGGAGGAGGAGGAGCAGGGATTCGAGGGAATTCTCAGGTGTTTCTGTGATTCCTACGGTGTTTGAGAATTCCTTGGGGTCTTCGAGAGAGTTGAGCTGAACCTCGCGGGGTCCCTGTCGAGGCAAACGACCTGACTGCCAGGAGGAGAAGAAAGAGGAGAAGTAGGAGGAGGAGGAGGAGGAGGAGGAGGAGGAGGAGGAGGAGGAGGAGGGGGAAGATGACCCTTGCCCTGCATTGATCTGGTTATTGATATCGTTGACTGCACTCGAGCTCGATGGAAGCGAATTTGCATGCCATGTTCGCCTATAGAGTTGCACCAGTCACCACGTATTCGACGTGTGACCAATGTTGCAGTCGACGAATCTGGTTGCACTGGACGATTGTCTGCGAAATCGCCGTTGACGAATATCCTCGTAACGTAGTCCCTGGTCTCGTGGCGTGGTCCAGGCATACGCCGTCCGCGCTTTGGACCTCGGCCAGACGCTGGGGGCTGCGGCGGGCGAGAAGGCCGGGGCAATGGGACGGCAATCTAAGGGCGTCGCAGTGCAGAAGGGCCAGAACATGAAAATGACGATAACAGAAGTTTCATGGGGTTTTCTCGCCATTTTGTCCCAGCTGCTCTCATCCGGTGCCCAGATCAGCTGGATGGTCCTGGGGATTCTGATGATGTGGTGGATGCCCCCCCAGGATGGGGTCACCAAACATGCTGTCTTTCCAGTGATATTGATCTACTGGACGTGGTGGCACGGCTGGCCATGAGGCGACCGCTGTATTACGACACCCTGAGGACGCACCCCGCCCTGAATAACCAGCACCAGGCGTTGGTCAAAACCACGGGTGATGATCTGTAGACGCACCAGCTAATGGGCTTGGAGAGGGCATGGCAAATCACCCAGAAAAAGAAAAACACTGTCGCCTGGCGGATGCGTAACTACAGTGAGGCAACGAATTCTTGTTGAACGCGGTGGGCACAACAAATTCCGCACGCCTCGTTCTGGGCGTGCGGCTGTGTCTGACTTCGGGCGCCAGGGCCAAACACAATCCCTGTCGCTTCTCGGCAATCTGAAGTTCCGCGAGCAGCAGTGGCTCGACGAACAGAGTTGGTAACAAGGTCAAAACTGGTCTGGGGCGGGCGGCCCGGAGCGGTGGCCTCAGCAGCCTGGAGCTGTTGTGCACCTGCTCCGGCTTCTTTGCGTGAAGCTCCTCTGAAGCCGCTGCCGTCGATAGCCGCAGGCCCAGCGCTGGCTTCGGCGTGCGCGCTGCTGGGGCCGTCGCCGACGCACAGCTCCACCTTGGCGGCGCCTCTCTGGGTGCTCCTCTGGCTGTTACCAGCCTGGAACATATCCCTATCCCTATGCTGGGCACCTCCTCATCACGATGCCAATCTTAGGGATTCCCTTCTTTTTTGAGGGCGAATCCCTAAGATTGTCATCGCCTTTTGGCGTGTCAATCTTAGGGATAGGGATACGTTCGAGGCTGGTAAGGCTAGGCCTCCAAGCCATCGCAGTCCTTGGTGCCTTCGTCGGCCAGGATCGTGTGGAGCTCCCCCGACCAGCGCGTGGCCTCTTGGGCGATGTCGTACAGCGTTAGGGTGAGCTCCTCAGCCTCCGTGGGCATGCCGTGGCACGCTGCCCCGTGCTTGTCCCACATGTCGGCGGCCGCGTTCCCGGCGCGCTCCCAGTGGGTCGTCCTCCCAGCCTCGACGTCGGCATGCGTGGCGTGGGCGAGGGCTTATCGTGACAGTGAAGTCGCCGATCCCAGCGGAACCCTTCTGGCCCCCACAGGTGGGCTCGCCCATCGCTTGGGGAGCTCCCTGGCCCGCGCCGGTGGGCGGGCACGGTCCCGTCGCTATCGCCGAAGAGGGCGCAGTGTCCCGCTGCCACATGCGAGGGCGCGAAGGCAACGAAAAATCCTCGCCGTCGCGGCTGAGCTGCTTGGGGCAAATTGCCAGCGGCACAGGCCCATAAGTATCGGGGGTGGACAGAACCCCCAACAGTGACACGTCGATTAGTGAATTGTCCGTTTTCGGTTCTCGAGAGGGCACCGTGGCCGTTATTTTCCAGGCTTGCGCCCGCCAGGTTTGGGCCTCAGGTCGTTCTCACTAAACCACATTTTACTAAAAGGGCGTCTGTCCATCCCCGAAAGCAGCAGCTTCAGGCACGCCCCAACGCTTGCCCCGCACGACTGCCCGCCCAGCCCGGCTGGTGCCCGGGCAGGCGCCCTGCGACGGCGGAGCCGCCCGTGCAAGGCATGCCTCCTCGAGCCGGGAGCGAGCTGGGCGGATTCATTCGAGGAGCCTCGAGCTCCTGGCAGCCGAGATCGCTTTCCAGACCCAGAGATCCAACGTATTGAAAAATCAAGACGGAGGTTTTTCTAAATTTTCGGCCTCTAGCGGCCCTCGCCGGGCCCTGGGACTGTAAAAAAACGACTCAGGATGATAAACCGGTCCTGGGGAATGTGTCGAGACTTCCGGGGACCCCGTCCTGAAAAAATCACGACATCGGATCTCTGGGGAGGTGCTGGGCGTCGGGGAAGATCCCGCGTGCAAGCCGCTCGGCAGCCAAGGGCCCCTCTTGCTGCGCCCGCCGGGCCCTCGCCGCCAGAAGTGGGGCTGCATGGCGGTCCGCCTGCGGCTGGCAGGGGCGTCGCACTCCGTGCGCCCCGTGGCAGACCGTGCCGGCCTTTGCCCGACAGAGCTTGCACAGCGCGCGCGCTGCGAGACCATGGCGCCGGGGCCGCTCCTGGCACCGGTGCGTGTTGCCCACGAGGGCCCGGAGGGAATTCTGCCGCCGCTGCGTCCAGTGGCGCGCCGAGCTCCACCGCAGCGGCCGCAGGGCCAGCCAGCTGATCGGCTGCACCCAGCGGCGGTCGTCACGCACCTCCTTCGCCTCGCACGGCAGTGCCGTGCAGTCAGAGGCACGCCAGGCGGCGTCTTGGGCGCGACGGGCCACCAGACCTGGGGCCGTGCGCAGCAGGCCAGGTCCAAACGGGCGCCCGCGTCAGTGACCACCACGGCCTCGCCCTCGAAGCGCCAGCCGCACTGGCCCAGCGTCAGCAGCGCCACATCTGCGGGGGAGATGGCCTGCGGCCACGGGTGCCGGGCGGGAGGGCGGTGTGATGGCGGAGTGAGGGCGGGAGGGCGGGAGGGCGGGACGAGGGTGCGATGAGTGCGGAAGTGCCCCTGCCTTGGTCCAGCCCTCATCGCGCCGTCATGCCTCATCCAGCCGTCATCCCGCCCTCATCCCGCCCTCCCGCCTGTAGTCCAGCCTCACCTTAATTGCTGTTGCCACGGAAGCCACGGCAATATGTCAGTGGTCCATCCAAATCGTGCCACGGCTTCCGTGGCAAACGTGGCATGAGGGCGAGGTGAGGGCTGGATGAGTGATGGGGGCGGAGGGAGGGATGTGGGTGGAATGAGGGCGGGATGGGGGTGGGATGGTGGTGGCATGGGGGCGGGATGGGAGAGGGGTGAGAGCGGGCCGAGGGCGGGGCGAGTGCAAGGGCGGCGTGAGGGCGGGATGAGGGCTGGATGAGGATGGGGCGAGGGCGGGGTGAGGGCGGGAGGTCGGGATGACGGATATGGTTGTGCGAGTGCGGGGTGAGTGGCGCGGGGTCAATGCGGACTGGGTGCGGGGGGTCGAGACGGATGCGGGCTGAGCGCGGGACGGGGGATGCTGCTCCCCCCCCTTCTTGGGTAGCATGCCCCCATCTCTTGCGGCACTGGGCGCCTTGAGGTTGTGATCCCCTTTCTCGTTCACATGCGACACTTCGACGCAGCTGCGTGCCGGGGGTGGATGGTGCTGCTGATATCAGCGACATGCAACCTACTGCAATCGGGGCGAGGCAAACCTCTGCTAGTCGCAGGGACGGTGCCTGGACTGACGTTCGATAGTCGGCGCCATCGGTGATCGCGGTGCCGTCTGGCTAGGATTTTCGCTCTGTCATGCGTTCGGTGAGGTTTAGGCTGGCTGGGGCATCAGGTCCGCACGCACCTCGTGCGCGTGTCATGAAGCCAATCAGAGGTCGGGAGAGCGCGAAGGCCAGGCAAACAGTGCTCCAACTTTGGGATGCTGGCGACAGCAGCCGTATCCATCGTCGTCATTGCCAGTCGAGACCAGCCGTCCAGCACCTCCTCATCTTCATCGGTTTGTCGGCTGCTCTTTGCATCTCCTTCAGCCCCCCTTAGCTCAGAGGAAGAAAATATACCCATACTGGGACCCTTCCCTCGTTTTCCCCTTTCTGGGCCTTCTGGGAGGTCCTCGTCGCCACCGCTGGATTCGCTTCGAAATTTATATCAGTACGCTCCCTTTGGAGCAGTCCGGGGAGTAGAGGTATCTGTACCTGTTGGTTTCCCCTTAGCCGCCTTGACCTGCATGTCTATCGTTTCTGCGGCATTCGTCGCCGAGCGGGCGAGCGAGCTCGTGAACGTCGGTAGCTCGCTCCTTGCTCCCCCATGGCCCTCCTTACTCTCCCCTCGTCTTCCCTCCCCGTCGCTTCCTCCCGCCCCCCTCCCCGTAGTGAATATGCCGAGGGGCCCCGAGGCAGCCGGGCCAGCTCGTGGCACGGCAGTCACAGAGTCGCATGCCCCAAGCTGGCCGTTCCGTGTTCGAAGTGTTCACCGGCAGCTGGCTCCGCGGGGTATTACCTTGATTTGCCTCCCGCCCCCCCTCCCTCCGCCTCCTTCCTAGGCGGGGGTTTATCCATATCCACCGACTGGGGGATCGATCCTCGCGGACCTCGGCCGGTGGATATGGACATAACATATTCGGGCTTTCGTGGGCCAAGGTATATCCATGTCCACCGCCCGCTGCGGCATCAGGACGTCGATTTTCAGGCGGTGGATATGGATCAATTCCCTCCTCGCACTCCTGCCCTTTCCCCCCCCTCTCTCTCTCATCCCGCCTTGTCGGCGAGCGTCGGCCTGATATCGTCCTTGCGCTGTGGCGACCTTGCCTGCGTCTCCTCCCGCCCAAGTTCCTCTTCCACCCGAGCGTTTGCGCAACACTCTTCCACACACTTTCGACGGTCCGCGCGGATCTGTTGGATCTGCGTTGGAACCCTCTCTGGCGCCGCCCCTGGCGCGCTCCGCGCGCCAGGGTGGGGGGTTCAGCGCCGATCCAATAATTCCGCGCGGACTGTCGAAAGTTTATGCTTATGCAGTTGCTTGTTCCTCTCAGTAGGCGTATCACATAGGAAAGCAGCCCGCGGGTGGGCCACAGAAAAATCATATCCCCGAGCTCCGAGCGCTCCTGGGAACCGCAGCAGTGCTGGAGCTGTTTGGTGACGTCGAAGATGGATGGCGAAGGAGTCTCTACATATCTTATCGCAAGACTTTGATCGCATGTGTCTAGTCCACTTCGCCTCCACTCCCTCGCAGACTGTCCGCCCAGGCCGCGGTGCTGGACGAGAGGCGCAAGTTCTTCCAGATCTTCATATTCGCTGCGCATTGCAGGCAGGAGCTGTTCCTCAACGTCCAGAGGCCCCACATGTTGAAGGCGCGTCGCACGGCCTGGCAGGTTTGTCCAATCTGCCGACCTCGTCGCTGTTCCTCCGTCCTCGTGCTCACCCCTCCTCTCTCTGCCTCTGTCGTACACACGGGCCTGCGCCTGCTGGTCCGATGCAGCATCCGTGGGCACAGTGGGGTGAGGCCGGGCTGCTTTTCTAGGCTGGATGGCTCAGGAGACAATCGGCGCGGGGGATGAGGGAGAGGAGGAGGAGGAGTAGGAGGAGGAGGAGGAGGAGGAAGAGGAGGAGGAGGAGGAAGAGGAGCACGAGGAGGAGGAGGAGCAGGAGGAGGAGGAGGTGGAGGAGGAAAAGGAGAGAATGCCTCCTTTCTATTTCCCTACCTAGGCTCTGCCTAGAAGGGTTCTTACTTTATGAGCTTAAAGGGCCAGGCAGTGTTCCTCGCCCCCGGCGGTTCCCCCGGCATCCGCCCCGCGGTTCCCCCAGTGACGTTCCCTTAGCTTAGCGTTGCTTATCTCATCTTAGCTTAGCTTATTTCATCTTAGCTTAGCTTAGCTTCATCTTAGCTCAGGTTTATCTTAGCTTAGCTTACCTTCATATTAGCTTCGCCGAGCTTTAGCATAGCAGAGCACAGCATAGCATAGCAGAGCGTAGCACAGCACAGCGCAGCACAGCCTATCATAGCAACGCCCAGCATAGCACAGCACAGCGCAGCATAGCATAGCATAGCATAGCATAGCATAGCGCAGCACAGCACAGCACAGCACAGCACAGCGCAGCATAGCATAGCATAGCATAGCATAGCATAGCAGAGCAGAGCATAGCATAGCAGCAAAGCAAAGGCAAAGCAACACCAGCGTCAGCAAAGCAAACCACAAGCACCGCAAAGCAAAGCAAAGCAAAGCAAAGCAAAAACAAAAGCAAAGCAAAGGAAAGGCAAAGCAAAAGCAATGTGCGACAGATGCCGAGCTAGCCTCGATGGTTGGACCGGAGCCCCCGCAAGCAGTGCTTTCCGTAACCATGGCATAGCATAGCATAGCATAGCATATCATAACATATCATATCATAGCTTAACATAGCATAGCGCAGCATAGCATAGCGCAGCATAGCATAGCATAGCACAGCATAGCGCAGCACAGCATGGCATATCATAGCATAGCATAGCAACTAATGCTGCTTTCCTAGGGGCTCCAACTTCTAGGTAGGTTCGCACTGGGGTAATTCCAATCGTGCACGCACTGGTTGCGCCTCTTTGAAGTAAATCGAGTGCTGCGTTCCGATTTGTTTTTTCGGATCGCGGCCATCAAGAGGCGACGGCTCATGCCAGCCAACGTTTGTCCAACACAAAGGGAGGAGGAGGAGGGGGAGGAGGAGGAGGAGGAGGAGGAGGAGGAGGAGGAGGAGGAGGCGGCGGCGGCGGAGAAGGAGGAGGCGGAGGAATCGTACGGCGACGATGGACTTGTCCTTGCCTCCTCGCTCATCCCTTCCTCCGTCTTCCGCTTCCTGTTTCCCCTCCCCTCCCCGCTTGTTCTCCTCTCTCCTTCTCCCTCTCCTGCGTCCTCCTTTTCTCCCTCTGCTTTCTTCTCCTCTCCCTTCTACCTCCTCTCCAGCTTCCTCTCGTATCTACTCTTGGCTCCCCTTCTCCCTCGTCTTCCTCCCCCACCCCCCGCCCCCCCTTCCACCTCTCCCCTCCCCTTCTCCCTTTCCCTCCCCTCTGCATCCCCTCTCCCTCCTCTCTGCGATTCAGCATGATTATTGTGAAGGCCTTCCGGCCTGTGCCGCCGACCCTGAAGGCGGGGACCTCCGTTTGGGACCCCCGCTGGCGCCCCCTCCCGAGACCCGCTGGGACCCCAGATGGGGCACTGCAGGCGGGACCCCCTCCCCCGCAGGGGGCACCAGGGAGGGGAGGGGGGGGCCCGCCAGGAACCCGGGGGAGGGGCGCCCCGTATCCCCCCCCCCCGGTACCCCCCCCCACTATTCCCTCCCCTACCCGTCCCTACCCTCTCCCCTATCCCCCTCCCGTGCCCCCCCCCATCCCCCCGTCAGGGAGTGCAGGGGAGGGGATCGACTTAACCACGACGTTTCTTGTCTGTTTTCGTTTCTGATTCTCCGTTGGCGGCGACGGCGGCGACGACGACGGCGACGACGACGACAGCGTTTCACACACGGCGAAGGGTCGGTGGAATCTCTTCTCTCTTTCCCCCGACCCTGTCCTGGAGATGTTCGCCCCTTCCTCGTAATGTTTTTACAGCGGATTTCGAACCGTTCTTGTTTTCTGTGTTTCAAAGTGGTGCTCCCGCTGCAGCGTGGTCCTTCTTTTCGATTCGGCGCTTCGCTCCCGTCGTTCAGAATGGCGCTCTCGACCCAGCGCGGGCCACTTGTCTGGCTACGAGTTCGTCCTCATCGTTGTCCTTTCCCCTCCTCCGCCTTCCCCTGGTCATCCTGCTCCTCCCGCTCCTTCCACTTCAGGTCCTGCTGCTGCTTTTCGTCCTCGTCCTCCTTCCTCATCCTTCTCCTTTTCGTCCTGCTCATCATCTTGCTCATCCGCCACCTCCTCCTCCTTGTCCTCCTCCTTCCCTTCCTCCCATGGACGCAGCTCCCCTTTTCCGATTGCGCATGACACGATGGTGTCCTTTTGTGAGTCCCAGGTCCACTATGACACGCGTCCGCAGATAGGAAACACATCGGCGCAATGGGAAGGGATGGGTGGGAGGGGTTGGATGTTAGATATGGCGCGAGCGCACTCTCCGCGCATTTCCGCCCCGTCTTCATCCTCTTCCTTCTGCTGCTCTCCATGCATTGCCCCTTGGCTGAGGGGCTGGTCGCCAGCCCAGGCTGCGCTGACAGTTGGCGATCAGGCAGACTCGGGGTCGGCTCCCGAGCCCCCAGACTCAGCACGCTCAGCACGATCTGATACAGTCAACCCTGATAGTTCACCCTTGGCTCCTCCCCCCTCGGCCCATCCTTGGCCACTCTCGCTGGCCGCGCCCCGCTCGAAAGGTGTCGGCATGGCCGTTCAAGGCCTCATCGTCCTCACCGCGCATCTGCCCTCCGCCGCCCCCCTCACCAGCCTGCGTTCTGGGACGACCCCGTGGCCGCCTTCGGGCCCGGCGGGGACATGGAGAGGGACCGCTGCCGCCCCCGCTCCTCTCGGGGCCGCTGCCGTCGTCGCCGCGGCCGACGGAGGGGAAGATGACGAGCGGAACGAGGAGGAGAACTGGGGGCGACGACGCTGAAAACCCCTGTCAAGAACCCCCCTGCTTGCCTCCAGGGTGCCCTGGGCTTCTTGGGTTTCGATGGTTTTGCGATGGAAAGCGTGACGTTCCAACCCCAAGACTCAATGGCCGTCCTGGGGTCTCAGGTTTGGGTTTCTTGCCGGAGGTTTCTTGTGGTCGAGCTCCTACTGTATGAGGGGTATGAGGGTGAGGGGAATGAGAGTGAGAGTGTCCAGCCGCCGAGTGGTATAGCTGCTTTTGCGCTCGGGAGGGGGCGCACCGCGGGGCTCCCCGACGGGCCTCGGCCTCGGCCTCTTGCCGAGGACTCTGGGCCAGAGACCGCGGCGGACTCTCCTTGAATACTCGACCCCTGCCGGTGAGGCCAATATGAGGGTGAGGTGGACGAGAGAGCAGGAGGGGAGGGGCGGGGGCGGGAAGGGCGGGGCAGGGAGGGGGGTGTGGGCGAGAAGGATGGGCGAGGAGGAGGCGGGCGAGGAGGAGGAGGGATGGACGGATGCAGGTACGAGGGAGGGAGGGACGAGGAAGTGAGTGGGGATTCAAGGGGCGAGGAGGAGGGAGGGAGGGAGGAGGAAGGCGGAGGGGGGGACGGTGAATCCTCCCTCTTTCCCCCGTACTTCCCTTCTTCCCTCCCTCCCTCTCTCCCTCGTCGCCGCCGCCCTCTGGCCTCTCGCCTCCGGCGCCACTGAAGCCAAGACACTGCAAACCAGGACTGGCAAACATCCCGGCTGGAGAGGATGAAGCAGGCACGGTCAGGAGCTCTGACTCAGCCTGTCGCGGCGCCCTTTCTGGCCCACCCCGCCTCGGCACTTCGGCGGCCCCCAGGCGTCTGCGTGTTGAGCTCTGCCCAGCCTCCCGTCCCGCGGGTCGCAGCGACGCGCGCTCCGCTCGCAGGGCCCCGCGTGTCTCCGGGCGCGTCGCCGGGGCCGCCCCGCTGAGCAGCGTGCCCGGCCGCACGGCGTGTGGGCCCACGGCCGCAGTTCTCGCTCGGGCGCGCCGGGCGGTGGCTGTTCTGTTGCCGAGGGGCTCGCCGATCGGCGCGGGTCCCCGCCCCCCGCCCCCCGTCGGCCAGATCTTGGCCAAGGGCGCCCTCGAGGGCGCGAAGTTCTTCGCGCTTCGCGCTTCGCGGTTCGGTTCCGATTCCTCCTCATCCTCCTTTTCTCCCCTGGGAGGCGGCGCGAGAGCGCGAAGTTTTTCGCACTTCGCGCTTCGCGCAGCGCGAAGCGCGAAGTTGGGAGCCCTTGTTGGCTGCTTTCGGCACTTGATCGGTCAGGACCCCCCCAGTCTGCTTGCGCGACGGGTGTAAGCAGATCGGCTGAGCTCGGCGAAAGAACAAACGACACCACGCCACCTGCGGCCCTCCATGTTGCGCTACGGCCCATCGTGGGCCGTAGCGCCTACCACGCAAACACGCACGCCAGATTTGTTGGTATCCGCTGAGCCCCCATGTCCCATCGGGGGCCGTAGCGCCTGCCACGCAAACGCCCACGCCAGATTTGCTGGTATACGCTAAGCCCCGTGGGGCCGTAGGTGGGGTGGTGTCGCTTGTCTTCTGGTCTACCAGCACGGGCCCAGACCCAGACTCCCCACACTTCCCCTCCCCTCGGCCATACGTTGAACCCCAGGATGAACTATCGCTTACGTGTGACGAAAGAACACACATATTCCCATACCCACATTGGGGGTCGGAGGGAGGAGGCCTGGCCATGGGTATGGATGCGGGTTGTCGGACCTCGGGGGTGAGGCTCCCGTTCGAGCGGGCACCCTCGTCCGGCAACGACCATCCATAGCCTGTTCCGTGCCCTCTGTGGGTACAGTCGGGGTCCTGAAGAAGGAACCCTTTTCGTTGGGGAGGGGCTCCGTGTTCCTTGATTGTTTCGCAGCTTGCCTCAGGTTTTCCTTATGTCTTCGATCGGAAATCGAAGTTTACTCATGGAAGAAAGAAACCTCGTTCCTTATTTTGGGTTCCTTAGGTCAAGACCTGTTCAGCAGAAGCCCCCGTCTGCGGGGCCCCGCGTCCTTCGTGCGCCCCGCTCCGCTCTTCGCGCGAGAGGGGGCTGCGGCACGCCCGCGCGCCCACTGGCGCCACGCCGCCATGGGCCGCGAGGCGTCGCAGCCCCGAGGCGGTTCATACCTTCAATGGGGGAGGGAAGGAGGCGAAGGAGGAGGAGGAGGAGGAGGAGGAGGAGGAGGAGGAGGAGGAGAGGAGGAGGAGGAGGAGAAGGAGGAGGAAGGAGGAGGAGGAGGAGGAGGAGGAGGAGGAGGAGGAGGAGGGGAGGAGAGGGGAGGAGGCGAGGAGGGGAGGAGGGAGGCGGAGGAGGATCGGGGAGGAGGGGGAGCAGAGGGAGGATGAATGGGAGGAAGAGGCGGAGAAGGAGGGGGAGGGGGAGGGGGGTCAGGGAAGGGAGGATGATGGGGGGTAAGGAGGGGGAGGTGGAGGAGGGGGAGGGGGAAGAGGGGGAGAGGGAGGAGGGGGAGGAGAGTGGGGATAAGGAGGGGAATGAGGATGAGTAGGAAGGGGATTCTCAGGATGAGCAGCCTCTGCGAGGAGGGCGAGGGAGGAGGGGGGTGAGGAGGGGGAGTCGGGGAGAGAGGATGCGGGGTTAGGGGAGGGGGTGAGGGGGGTGACGGGGATGAGGAGGGAGAGAGGAATAAGGAGAGGGAGGGGCACGAAGAGGCGGAGGGGGGATGATGAGAGGGATGGAAATGATGAGGGGTGGGGGAAAAGGGGGTCAAGACACAATCTTGCAAGGCTGATCGCGGGGCGATTGAGATGCACGCGCATCGAAGTCCGCCGAGACCACCATGAGGATGATGCGGAGAGATGCGATGAGGCGCAGCGCAACGACGACAGCGACACGTACCGCCGCCGCAGCAGCAGGTTCGGAATGAATGGCAGGAGAACCAGGAGGAGAGCGATGATGGCTCCCCCCTGAACTCCCCAAAGCAGCATACCTCCCCCCAGAGCGGCATACCTCCTCCTCCCCGCCCTCCTGCTCGAGGAGGAGGAGGAGGAGGAGGCGGAGGAGGAGGCGGACGAGGAGGAGGAGAAGGAGGAGGAGGAGGAGGAGGGGAGGAGGAGGAGGGGGAAGGGGAAGGAGGAGGAGGCGGAGGAGGAGGAGGAGGAGGAGGAGGAGGAGGAGGAGGAGGAGGAGGAGGAGGAGAGGGAGGAGGAGGGGATGACAAGCGAGGACTAGGAGGGTGCAGAACGAGGACGGACGACAATGGGGACGGGGCGGCGGCGGCGGCGGCGACGACTCTGACTCGGATTTCTTCTCGTTCGCCTGCATCAGGACCTGCTGGCGTATCGGACGTCGCGCGTGCCACGCCCGAGCCTGTTCAACAGGGCCGTCATCATACCGGGCCGGGTCTCCGAGGCCCAGGGGGGGCTAGGCTCGGGCGGGTTGTAATGAGGGGGTGACCTACATGGGGGGTGAAGAAGAGGGCCCTGACGGGGCCCTTTAGGGCACCATTTGGGCCCCTGCTGGCTGTGCAAGGGCCCTAAGGGCCCCTTGAAGGATGTTTTCTTCACCCCCCATGTAGGTTATCCCCCATTACCACTCGCCCGACAAGGGGGAGGGGCTGAAGTAGACCGAGGGAGAAATAGGAGCGAAGCTGGCCCGCGCCTCGCGCCCAGTGAGGGGAAGCCCCATATCCCCGTGTATGCAGAAGGTTGGTTTCCTTCCTGCGTTCCGAAAGGCACCAACGCACCGCTTCCCTCGGTTCCGGGAAGCCATGCAGAGCTGCAACCCTAGACGTGTCTGGGGGCTCGGGAGCCTCGAGCCCGTAGGGACATCCCTCGGCCTCAGAACAGGATGTGGCGGAGGGCGAGGGCGAGGGGGAGGATCAGTGGAGCATGAGGGCGGTACATGGAGCGGGCTTGGGGGAGCGAGACGCTGGGGAGAGGGCGACGACTGCGCACAGGAGCATGACCAGGAAATTCGGATGTACTTACTGGGAGGTTGAATTCAGCATCGGCGCTGGCATGTCTGTGGTCGGAGTCTGGCCTACTCCGGCATAGTTTCCTCAGTTCAGTATAGTCCTGGCTAGTGCCGCTTAATCTTGCTTGATGCCAGAATTTATCTGGGATGATTCGGCTTAGCTGCGCCTGAATCTGGCTTCGCAGCCATTCGTCGTTCTTGCGACGGCCTCCCAGGAAGTGCCTCCAAAATGAAATATGTCCCCAGGTTCGCGAGCGTGAGACAAAACAAACCATGTACACTATGTTTTGGGCGACGGCTCGCATACCTCAGTGTATCCATGTGCGGCTCACAGATTAGGAGGGAAGCAGGAGGGTGCGCGGATGGGCAATACGGGGCAAGGGGGAGAGGGAGGGAGGAGTGGGACTGGTGGCGAAAGGCCGGGCAAGATCGAGGGAGGCGGAGAGAGGAGAGACAGGAGGGGGGGGAGAGAATCGAAAGGGGGAGAGCGGGGAGGAGGGGAGGAGGAGGGGGAACCTGGGGATGAGGACGGTGAGGAGCAGGAGGAGGAGGAGGAGGAGGCGGAGGAGGAGGAGGAGGAGGCGGAGGAGGAGGAGGAGGAGGAGGAGGAGGAAGAGGAGGAGGAGGAGGAGGAGGAGGAGGAGGAGGAGGAGGAGGAGGGGGAGAAGTGCTTGAGGATAGAGAGGGCGAGGTGGAGGTGGAGGAGGACGTGCATGGGGCCGCTTGGCCCGAAGTGACCCATCCTTCTTTTTCTGCTACCCCTCGTCGTCCTCGCCATTCCTCCGCCTCCTCCCCCTGCTGCGTCTCCTCCTCCCCCTCCTCCTCCTTCTCCAGACGAGTCCGCGGAGGCCCACCCATAACCCAACGGGCATCACGGGGGCGGACGCTCCGACGGTGCGGGCGGCGGAGCAGCTACCCACACCAGCTTGAATGGAAGGCCATCCATCGAACGCACTTGCCAGGGGACCTCGCGTCGAGGCTCGCGCGGCCGCGGTCAGGGCCGCGGCAGCGGCCAACGCTTTGCGGCAGCTCATTCTTCTCTTGCCCAACCTCGTACTCTCGGACAGCAGGGCGTTGGCGGATATCAGCAGCACCTACTACCGCACCAGCGACATGAACTCCAACAGCGGCCTGACTGCATGCATGGAGGACGCGGATCAGCAGCACAGCGAAATGTCACAGGCCATGAAAGAGAACTTCATACATGCGAAACAGTCAACTTCGCCGAGCGCCCCCCCCGTTCGTCCTGATTTGCACTTGCGCAATACTGTGGGCCGACAGGCGAGTCCCAGCCCAGAGAAGTGGGCGACGGAGATGGAAGAGGAGCGAGGTCGAGCTCGCTTCTTCGGCTCTTCATGGGCGGTGGAAGCGACACAAAGGAACGCATGACACGTCCGAGGACAATACTCGCGGCAGGCTGATCTACGCAATCGACCAGGCTCACCCGATCGGGCCCGCTCTTCAGACCCTGATAAGGAAACGATGCTCTCTTCCCCGATGGTCCAGGGCAAGACGAAGATAGGGCCAGCCCCGCGGGGCCCCTTGGAGCGAGACGCGAGCAGGCCCTTCTGGATATGCCAGGGGAGCGTAGCAGTGAGTGGCACCAGCAGTGCCCTGCGAGTGGCAGCTCGGACCAACCCGCCGAATCATTCACAGCGGTTGCAGCCCAGCTTCGGAGGTCTTGACCGCTTGCCATTCTTAAGATGGGGCCCTCGGGCCAGCGCCGCGCGCATCGTTCAGCAGGACGGAGGGTCTGCTTCTCGAATGTGGTCTCGCTTCACGTCTCGTGAGCCGAACTGGAATTGCCGCTCGAGCTTCCCCGAAGTCCATGGCTGCACGCGCAAACAGGTGTGACAGCTGCACGGATTAGGGGCGATCGTTTATCGGAATGGGGACTTCGGTGGACACCCCAGTAAATTCCAAGCTCATCGTCTTCCGTGTTCTTGATTACCTTATTGTAAGATGCAAGGCGATTCCTTGTCAAATCGGGGTTCTCGTCACAATCGCGGGCCAAAGTGCGCTGGTCTTTCAAGCGAGGCGATTCTGGTAGTGAGAAGGAGGATTCGTTTGGGCCTGGGGAGGGGATTGGGGACGTGTGTGTGTGTGTGTGTGTTGCAGTAACGTTTATGCATCTTCGGTTCACGCTGGCACTACTCCTCGTCCTCCTCTCCTCCCTCTCCTTTTCCTCGCAAAGCTACTGCTTCGACTGAAATCCGCTTGCGTCTTCCGCCTCCAGCTGCTCCTCCTGCCGCGCCTGGCCAGGCGAAGGAGAAGGCGGGGGGCGTCGACGAGAACATCGCCCGCCGCTCGACGCGCCTGTTCTGGGGCAGCCTCCCCCCTCCTCTCCCCGTGTGGGGTGGCGTCGGGGCGGGGGGCGCCTGGGGGCCCTCCCTCGCCGCTGCCGTCTTGCCCGACCGCGTCCGAACATCTTCTGTTTGCGATTGGTCGGCAGCGATGCCTGCGAAGTCACTCGTGGCTCCGCGGGTGACGGGATCATTGGGGTTCCCGCGGAGCTTCGGTCCAGTCCAGTCTTCCTCCTCCTCCTAACTCTCACCACCCAGTATCTTTTCTCCTCCGGTTTCTCCTTCCAAGCTCTCGTCGTCGTCCCCCTTCTATTCTTTCTCCGCCTCCTCCGCCTCTCTCATCATCCATCCTCATGCCTCCCTCCTAACCATATCTTTCCTCTTGTTTCACCTCGTATCCTCTCCTCGCCCCATCGTGTTCATCCTCCTCCTCTTCCTGTTCCTGTTCCTGCTCCTCCTCCTGCGTTTCGCATTTCCACCATCGTTGGGATGAGGTCTTTCCGTCGTCGTCTGCCTTTTTCTGCGTCTTCTTTTCCCTCAGCCTTCCTCCCTGCTCCCTTCTTCCACCTTCCTCTTTCCTCCTCGCGCCTCCTCCTCCCCCCTCCTCCTACCTCCATGCTGTGTTGCCTCCTCTTATTTCTTCCACCCTCCTCGTTCCTCTGTATCGAGGCCGCTTCGACACTCATAAGCTTTGCGGTGCATCGGGTCTAAGTAGAAGACCACTCTCTCCTCTTTCTTCTCCCGCGGGCATTGCAGTGCCCTGGTTCTTGCGATGTCCAACGCCAGGTGCAAGGTCGTTGGCCGTCTGGGCCTCGGGGGATACGAGCCCTGGTGCCCTCGTAGACATGTCGGCGCAGTAGCTCCTCTGTTTTTCAGGGTGCTGGGGTCGGCAGTTCGGGGGAGCGCGTCCAAATTCGGCTGGGTTTGAGGCCCCGGAGGGGCCCTAACCCCTCGTGCCTCGTGCTGCCGCCTCTCTGGGCGCTGCCACTGTAAATCAGCCACGCGCAGAGGGGGGTGGGGGGAGGGGGGGGGGCTTCTTAGAAGCCCCTGCTTCTTAGAAGGCGCGGGCCTTATCTATAGATGTAAGGCCAGCGCCTTCTAAGAAGCAGCCTGCTTCTAAGAAGCCCCCCCCCCCCCCCCACCCCCTTGTGCGCGCCGCCAAGTAAACAGCCGCTTCCCGCCCGCACGTGTGCGTACGCACGGCTGGCTCTGTTCCCCCTCTTGGCCACGGCCTGCCGCGGGAGCTCGCCAAGCGGCGCTCGGCGTTCCCAGCCTGCCTGGCGGTCTTCGGTCTGTCGCGGTAAGGGTCGGCTTCGCTGTGGGAAATTCGGAGCAGGCGCTTTTGCGTCCCTCCTTCCCTCCTTGCCTCCCTCCTTCCCTCTTTCCCCTCCCCTCTTCTCCCTTTGTCCCCTCCTCCCCCCTCCTTCGGGAATGGGCACAGTTCTCTGGGGTCTACGTTGCGAAACAATCATAACGTCGGAGGTCTTGGTAGTCATAACCTGTGGTAGCCATCCTGGTGTTGGGGAGGACTCCAGTTGGTCAGCATGCTGCAAATGCGCCTTTGCGGCTTCGCTCGCGATCAAACTCAGGGCGCACGTCCAGCTTGCAGCGGAGACAGTTCCCGAGAGGGTGTGCGGAGGGGGGCAACCAGTAAGGGAAGCTTCGCGGTTGCCAGTAGGGAAGCGACGCCCCAGGCTGCATTGCTGCATCGCCGTGGTGAAGATGGCGTGCGGAATTGGTTTGTGTAGCTGGCGCCAGCGCTTGCGTACGCTTCGGTGTCGTCATTTTCGTTGGCACCGTCCTTCGAGCGCACCTCTTGTTGTCCGGCGCATATGGACGGGTCTGGCGTTTTGACGGTGGTAGCCCCCCCCCCGTTCGGTGGCGACATCCAAGCCCTTCCCCCACCAACCATCCTTTCTCCTGAGTCGATGGGGGGCGGGGGTAAGGGTTCGGGTTTCGCCACGTTTTTGACGAATTCCGAACCCTTCGAGTTGCCGGAATCGTGGGCCGGCGAGGGCAGGGTTCGGATTTCGCCGCCGACCCGTTCCGAGGTCCAGTCCCTCGTGCACCGCACCCGCTGCCTGCTCGAGGTTGCCGAGGCGGCCTGGTCGTGTCTGAGCGACACGAACAGGGCGGCGACCCAGAAGTGCGAGGAGGTGGGCGCCGTCCCAGGAGGGAAGGGGGAGGCAGCAGCAGGCTTACACGCCCGTCGTTGAGAAAGCAGGCATTCTTGGATCCCCAGGTACCAGAATCTACTTCGGCCGCCTTCCTACTCCAGGCGTCGAACGGTTTTCCCTCCTCTTCAGGGGGCGGGCAGAAGCCCAATCTACTGTCGATGCCTTGCTGTTTTATGCTTCTGCCCACTTCGTCCGACCGCCGACGGGTGCTCCAGGGACCAGCTGGTGGGAAGCGTTGCTCTGATCACCCCGACGAGCAATCTTCTCGTCGGCAGCGCCGGCCATCGCAGGCGCGCCCGAGCAGAGCCGGCAGGCTGCGTCCCGGGCCAGGGGCGCACCTGTGGCGGGTGGGGAAGCAGAGGGCGGCCGGGGGCCTTGCCGTCGAGAGTCGACGGAGGACGGGGCGCGGCCTCGGGCACCCTCAGCCACGCGCAGAGGGGGGCGGGGGGGAGGGGGGAGAGCTTCTTAGAAGCACCCCTGCTGCTTAGAAGGTGCGGGCCTTATCCATAGATGTGGGGCCGGCGCCTTCTAAGAAGCAGCCTCCTGCTACGAAGCCCTCCCCCCTCCCTCCACCCCCTTGTGCGCGCCGCCAACACTCAATGCCGGTGTGAAGTGGAAGTCGGGCGCGTGGCGCAGGAAGTGCTCGCCGCCGGAGCAGGAGGCGGCCAGGCTGGCCGCGTGGCGAGCCGCCGACGGTTCGCGAGGGGCACCCGTCGAAGAGCAAGCAGCGGCGCCAGCATGATCTTTGTTCGGAGGCTCCCTGGCGGCGCCTCGGGCGCCGCCCCTGGCGCGCTCCGCGCGACGCCAAGAGGGCTCCAGCGCCGATCCGAGAAGTCCGCGCGGGCCTCCGAGAAATCATGCTTGCGCAGTGTTGTGCTCCTCGTGTGCGGCGATCGAAGGGGGCTCTCAGTCCATCCCCAGTCGTTTCCTGCCGGTCGGGGGGCCCTGCAGCGGCGCCCAGTTGCCGAGCGCGGCGAGGGGCCTCTGGCGCGACTGCTTGGAGTCGCGCGAGGCCTGGGCTGGAAGGAGACCGCTCAACATTGGTGCGAGGATCTCTCCCGGGGTCCATCCCCGCTTTTAGACCTGCCTCGAGCAGTGGCGACGATGGGCCCCCCTGGAGGCCAAATGGGGATGGAGAGGCTCAGCGGAGAGGGAGGAGCTGAGCTGCCCCGATGCACCCGTGCTGGAGCGCCATGCGCGCCGTGTGCAAAACGTCTGGGTTGAACCAGCCGCATGCTGGTTTCAACGCGTGCTGGCCGCTCGGGCGAGTCCTGTCGCCCCAGATCTTCGTTTTCAGTCTGCGTGTTTTGGAGAGTCGTAACGCACCACTACCACCGCCACCACCACCACCACCGCCACCACCACCACCACCACCACCACCACCACCACCACCACCACCACCACCACCACCACCACCACCACCACCACCACCACCACCACCACCACCACCACCACCACCACCTGGCCCCCCCTCCAAAAAATGTCACGGACCACGCGTCTGACAGTAGGTTCACAGCCAGTCCAGCTCATTCATGCCCAGCCCAGCTTAACGCACTTCCCCCAGGATCCCCAAGCCCCAACCAGAGAGTCAGCGGTCTGGGGAGAGGGGTGCCAGATGGTGGTGGTGTATATGTAGTCTAGACGCTTCGCGTATCCCCACCAGCTCATCCAGAAACGATGTCCAGGCGAGTTGAGGTGGTCAGGGAAGTGCGGGAGCAAAGAGGTTGACGGCCGATCCGCGCGAAGGAGGGAGGTGGAGGAGGAGCGAGGAGGCTGGATCGATGGGTGAGGGAGTGGGGAGAAGGAATCTGAGTAGGATGATGCTGCTGCTGCTGCTGATGATGATGATGATGATGATGATGACGACGACGACCACGACGACGACGACGATGATGATGATGATGATGATGATGATGATGATGATGATGATGATGATGATGAGGATGAGGATGATGATGATGATGATGACGATGACGATGACGATGACGATGACGATGACGATGACGATGATGATAATGATGATGATGATGATGATGATGATGATGATGATGACGACGATGACGATGACGATGACGATGACGATGACGATGACGATGACGATGATGATGATGATGATGATGATGGATGATTGATTATGATGCTTTGAGGCTGTGATGATGATGATGATGATGATGATGATGATGATGATGATGATGATGTGATGCTTGCTGCTGCTGCTTGATGATGTGATTATGATGATGAGGAGGGAGGAGGAGGAGGAGGAGGAGGAGGAGGAGGAGGAGGAGGAGGAGGAGGAGGAGGAGGGAGGGGGGGGGGGAAGGGGAGGGGGAGGAGGGGAGGAGGAGGAGGGGAGGGGGAGGGAGGAGCAGGAGGAGGAGGAGGGGAGGAGGGAGTAGGAGGAGAGGAGGAGGGAGGAGGAGGAGGAGGGAGGAGGAGGTGGAGAGGAGGAGGAGGAGGAGAAGGAGGAGGAGGAGGAGGAGGAGGAGAGAAGGAGGAGGAGGAGGAGGAGGAGGAGGAGGAGGAGGAGGAGGAGGAGGAGGAGGAGAGGGAGGGAGGGAGGGAGGGAGGGAGGAGGGGGAGGGAGGGAGGGAGGGAGGGCCGCGGTAGTTGAGGGAGGGAGGGGGAGGGAGGGAGGGAGGAGGAGGCGTAAGAGAGTGAGTAGTAGGAGGAGGAAGGAGGAACAGGAGGAGGTCTCTTGGATGCCTCTCGAAGCCTCTTGGGATATCTCTTGGGCGCTTCTTGGAGGCCTCTTGGGACGTCTTAGCGGTCTCTCGGCGGTCCTGGGGGGCCATTGGGCGTCTTGGGTGCCTCGGGGGGGCCTCTCGGGGCCGCTTGGGGTCCTCTTGGGGGCCTCCTGGGGGCCTCTTGGTGCCATCTTGGAGCCATCTTGGGGCCATCTTGGGGCCTCTTGGGGCCTCCTGGGCGCCTCTTGGGGCCATCTTGGAGGAGATCGATCAAAGAAGGGGGGGCTCCAATTAGCCTCCCCCCTCGGGAGCCCCCCAAATCACCCTTTGGGCCACTCTTGGAGCGCTCTTGGAGTGCTCTTGAGCGCTCTTGGGGCCGTCTTGGGGCTATCTGGCGCATCTCGTAGGGCCCTCCTGGGCCCTCTTGGAGCTGTCTGGAGGCCTCGGAAGGCCATCGGGAGCGTAAAGGCGAGAAGGCATCCTTCATTGATTTCCTAACAGTTTTTGAAGGATTTTGGCTTCTTGGCGGCCTCCTCGGGAGGCTCCGTGGCCGCTCGGAGCCGTCTTGAAATTGTCTTGGGGCCTCTTGGAGCATCTTGGGAGCCATCTTGACGCATCTTGGGCCATTTTGGGCAATCTTGGAGGTCATCGTGGGCTCTCTGAGGCCCTCTTGGAGCCATCTTGGGCCACCGTGGACGCTCCAACGACCCGCGACCGCGCCCCTCCAGGTCCAGGGGAGGGGGTAAGGGGGAGGGGCAAACCCTTCCCCGAAGGGGAAGAGGGAGGGGTGGATGAGGAAACGCTCTAAACCACCTACGCCCAGAGGGCTGGTGGGATTTTTGTGGCGAATTTGCGAGACATCCTTACAGTCGGTCTCCGAGGCTCTGGGCCAGCACCAGAGAGGTCGAGGGCCGATTCTGTGGGGCCCGAGGCACAGCGGCACCGGGCTCGCACTGAAGGGCGGCGATGAGGCGCAGCGTGGAGATCAGATGGGTACATTGCTGCTTCTTGATTCCTGGGAGGAGGGGGGCCAGGTGGCGGTGGTGAAGTTTGTTCGCTCTCGTGTTGAGTTCATTGCCGCCACACTGGGGTCGCGTGGTGCGCATCCTGGCAGCTAAGAGTCTCTCCATCCCTCTGAACGGTTTTACCGCGCAGTCGCGTGAGTGGGTAGTGTCACCACCCGATGTTGGCGCTGGAGGAAGAAGGAGCAGCAGCAGCTGAGGATCAGGAGCAGTTGAGGGGAGGCGGATGAGGACGAGGAGGGAGAAGGAGGCGGAGGACGAGAAAGAGGGGGAGCCGGAAGACGAGGAGGGGGAACAGTAGCAGCAGCAGCAGCAGCAGCAGCAGCAGCAGCAGCAGAGGAGGAGGAGGAGGAGGAGGAGGAGGAGGAGGAGGAGGAGGAGCAAGACCAGTGTAAACCCAAGACTCATCAACGGTGTTGCAATAGAACCTCTCTCTAAATTCCATCTTGCATCGGCTCCTCTAAATATTCATCTTCACTGCTGGAAGAGCCCCGTTTGAAGACACCCGAGCAACATTCCTGGGACTGGAATTCCGCGAATCAGCGTTACTGGTGCGACCTGACGATCCCGAATCGTGTCAGAGCACCGTTTCTGGGACGCCAACACCGCGATTAGACGCGACTGTCGCGCCCAGGCAATCCGGAATCGTGCCAACACAATTCATTTGTATTTTCGAAGTTGCTGTCATCATCTAAGACGAATGCGCGCGGCGCTCAAGCGAGAGCCACATTTTGAACATGAGCCGCTTTCTTTCCGTGAAACTCTCGCAATACGTATTGAAAGACGTACGTGCGCGGCGCTGAAGAGAGAGCAACATTTGAAAACGATCCGCCCTCCATCCGCGAAGATCTTGCAAGCTTCTACGACACATTCCCGCGGCGCAAAGGCTGGAGTCGCACTTCGAAATCGACCCGCCCTCCATCTGTGAAACTCTTGGAAATTCTAAGCTTCAGGATCATAAATTGTGGTGGAGTCTCAAGCGAAACTCCCGCCCCGCCCTACCGACCCCTCTCTGGGTGCGACAAGAAGGGGTTATTCATAAGGAAGAGGGATGGATGAGGAGGAGGAGGATGAGGAGGAGGAGGAGGAGGAGGAGGAGGTGGATCAGGAGGAGAACAAGGAGGAGGCGGAGAACAAGGAGGAAGAGGAGGAGGAGGAGGAGGAGGAGGAGGAGGAGGAGGAGGAGGAAGAAGACAGGGATCAGGACTGGGATCGGCGGCAGCCCCCGCAGGTGGCCGCCCTTGTGGAGGGGCTCCGCGCGCACGGCTCGCGCACGTGCCCGGCCCCCCTCCTGAGGCGCCGCCCTCCCCGCCTTGCCTGCGTCGTCGCCCCC